AAAAAAAAAATCGCAGAAAATTTTTTAGTTGAAGCAACAGATGTTCAAAACAAAAACAGTAATGAGAACGACTTCAAAAAATTCATATTTTTCTGTCGTTGGTTATGAATTACCAAGCCTAAAAGCCTTTCTCCCCTGCCATTAAACATACTTTTTAAAAGTCCCAAAAAAAGCCGAATAAAAAAAGAAAGAAAAACAGTCATAAAAATTTTGCTTTTCAGGTTACTTGAAAGTGACATCACAAATTTGAACTCTAAAATGACCAAACTTTTTTTCAGTTTATGAAAAAACATTTGGGAGTAAATTGAAATGTTTTTGTCTGCGCGCATTGTTCTCTAATTTTATTCAATTTCTTTAGCCTAAACCTAAAGCAGTTTAATCACTTGGGTTACTAAAAAAAGCTGCTAAAATGGCGAATTTACGCTGAAGAACATCACATCAAGACAGCTTTTAAACAATGGTAAGATTAAAAAAGATAACAAGAAAGACATGACAAGACAATTATTACTGCTAATTTGGGTGCTAACGAAGCGTTTTAAACAAAAACTTGTTCAGATTAATGATTATAGCACAGCGGAAAACAGCTTTGCCGTGATGCTATTTTATTTGACTATCAGAACAGTGTTGGAAATTAAAGGAGCTAACCTTAACGAATCATTGCATTGCCAACAAAATCATCAAACCGAATACTTTATTCACATAAGTGTGACGTATTATAATGAAAAAAAACAACAAAAAAAAAATTCTTTTTCAGCAGATTTAACTGTTAATAGTCTAAAAAAAGACGAGAATAGAGGGAGAGAAGAAACAAGGAGACGAAGGAAAATAGATCATTGTTGAGACAAGAAAAGTGAGGTGAAGGAAAAAAGCCGTTATTGGTGCTATACAGTGTTTCGCCAATTCGGTATTCCAGATACAGTTAGCATCTTCTGTTGTAAATGGAGTAAAAGCGACAAAAAATTAATGAACAACTTTAAAACTTAACAATAGTTAACGTTCTTTTTATTGTCATTGTTCCAATCACTATCATAAATACTGCTACTTATATTATTATTATTATTATTATTATTATTCTGTTTATAAAGATTTTCTACATACGCCGGTATTCAGACAAAGAAGAGGATATCTGTACTTGACGTGTACTGTCGCTGTACTACGTATCCAAATTGTATCATTGTTTTCGTTTTAGCAAAAGACAAAAAAAAGGGGAAAAAGTGACACTGCGTGTTACTACTTCAGTTCTTTCTCTCAACTTTTTCCATCTCCCTTTCCCTGTTCCTTCTCCTAAATTCTTCCGCTTTCAATGTTAGGCCGCTTTATTCAGTCTAAGCAGTTTTTAGTAAAATATTTTGTGCGCAAAAAAAAAAGTTAACAGAATTAATGCTAAGTTGAAAAAAGGTAGTAAAAACAAGAAAAAAATCTGGAACTGTCTACCTGAAAAATTTACGACTTTTATTTTATCTATTGAGATATTTATATAAAATTAAATAAACAGTTTATCAAAAAAAAAAATACGTCAAGAAATTCCGTTCTTCTTATCAGTTTTTCCTAAACAAATTTTTGCGTTTAACTTTTGATCGGAAATAAAATGTTGTGCTTAGCAAAAGGTATTCCTCAGTTACAAGCAGACAAGCAACAAAAGCAACTGTACAAACTTTTTTTATTCTTTGCCTTTTAGATGTTCAAAAGGTCAAATTAAAATTCTAATTTGTGTTTTGCCGTACAGTAATAATTTTCAAAAAGTTAAAATTTCTTTTCA